GACCGTCGCGGCGCTGCAGGCCCGAGCGCCCGGTGCTTCGGTTCTGGTGGCAGCGCGGAGGGGAGGAAGCAGGCTGGAGTTGGAAAGAGGGGGCAGTAAGCTGTCTGCTTCTGACCCTTCTCTTATTTCGTGCAGAGGCCGAGTGGTGAAATATTTTTCCACCCACAGAAACGCTGTTGCCTCTCTCTTCCAGGAAAACTAGAGAATGTTCTTAGGTGAAAACCTTGGTTTTGTTTCTCCTCTTGTAAATGATGTTTCAGGTTTGTCTTTTAGAAAGCCAATGATCTTTGCTTCGCTGGGAAAAGATTTGTTTGTAAGCAGTCTGAGGATCCTAGTTGCACTATTGGTTTGTGTTTCTGTACTGTTTGTATTTTTTTTTTTATTCCTTACCAACTTGCATGCTTACCTCTTTGTGCTTGGTCTAGCTAGAAAGATGGCAACTTCATAGTAAGCAAGAGCCACATGGCAGAGAGTGCAACTGTGTTTTGGATTGGTAGTGCCTGAGGAGAAAATTGTAGGTTTTGATAGCTTCTAACATATCAGGACTGGTACATACATAATCTGAATCAGTGTTTTGCTTAAGAAACTAGATACAGCAATCTGAGAGAATATAGTAGGAACATCAAGCAAATAGGTTTATATTTTTTTTGTAACCTTGGAACAATCTTCAGCTCTTCTTGTTTGCACGTTTTCTGAAAAGAGTAATTACTAGTAAAGTTAATACAATACAGAGTTCAGTCCTTCACTGAGGTGGCAAGCAGATCAGTCCCTTATGATTCTGAAGCATATGACTTTGTGGATTGATTATTTAATTAATTTTTTTTAGTATTGCCCAGCAATACGTAACATTGACCTTTGTTAGTAATGTTTTATTCCATATGCTTGGAGAGAATAGTGATGTAGTAAACTAGATCATTACGTTATACTGATGTTTTATTTTTGTATTCTCTGATGGTATTTTCTAATGATAGTTCTTTTGATTGGTGTCTTTTAGTAAAACCTTGACTAAAGATACTAACAAAAGTAATCGGAATCATAGTGAGGGGTTTTGTTTCACTTTCGTGTGTTATGTAACAGAGGAAAAGAAAATATAGGGAGATTGAGCCCAGCTGCTCACATCAAGAATCTGGTTTTGATTGTAGTTTGCAATGAATATGTTCTTGAAAAACTAGAAGGTCGTGTTTCATTCTGGGGAGAGCTAAGTTAGTTAAAAAGTCTAAAACCACCAGAGCGACAAAAGAATTACAATGGTAAATTATACTGCTTGCAATTCCAAACTTCTGTAGTAACTTTTTTTCTTAATGAGGTTTATCTTGTTGCTTTGCAGAAGTAACACCTTACCCATTTTGAAGATCTAAGAGAGCTTTCCGAATGCATAAGGCATAAAAGAAAATGGAAGAAGATGAGACTTTACAAGGTGAAGCAGAGAGGGCAAAAGTTGAAACACATGCTGCTCCTGAGATCGGTCGGCAGATATCAGTTAGCGAGTTCCTTTGCCACTGCTGTTACGACATTCTGGTCAATCCCACCACCCTGAACTGTGGGCATAGTTTCTGTAGACATTGTCTAGCCTTGTGGTGGGTATCGTCCAAGAAGAATGAATGCCCTGAATGCAGAGAAAAATGGGAAGGATTCCCCAAAGTCAACATCCTACTCAGGTGAGTGTACTATGCTATTTTTGGATTTCTAAAACCACCAAAATTACTTGTCTGGTTTCTTGAGTTTGCTGCATATTTTCATAATTTATTGGTAATCTGAACTGTTGCAAGAACATTTAAATCCTGAAGTGTTTCATGTTCTGCCCTTGTACTGAACTGTTCAAGCACATTTTTCAGCATGGAACTAAGGGGTGGGTTGGTTGGCTTTGTTTTGGGTTTTGTTTTGTTTTATTTTTCCCCCTTCTGAATTTTTGGGGGGATGGAGAGGAGGGATCCTTTTTTAGTAGTAAGACATTCACATGTTTTAATACAACTGTTTGTTTCCTAATAATTCTAAGTTAGAATGATCTTTGATAATTGTGTAATTATTTCTGCAATAGGAATTCTTTATAGGAAGAAATGTGGTCTTATTGCAGAACAAAGCTAGCAATGTCAATTTGCAGTCTTGAATTACGCACAAGTTCTTGTGTTAATAATACTTCATCTGAGGTCAATAGTATTTTAATGAATAGATGGTAGGATTGATGAGAGACTTTTATGTTGTCTTTTGCTTACCATTTTTGAGTAATCAAAGCTTGCCAGTAGCACACACAATTCTAATTTTATATAAGAAATAAGATTTTTTTTTTTTAATGTGATATTTTAACTTCCTCTGTATTTAGAAGCTAAGGAAAACGTTATTTGGAAGTAATTGATTTAAGCTTAACTTTACTAAATGTTAATAACTAATGTTTTCGTTCAAAGATGGCGGTCTTTAGTAGAGGCTAGAAAACAAAAATCCAAAAATTAGTCCCTTTTCTGAATGTTAAGCCTCAATGGTTATAGTACAATGACAAATATTTTTCCCATTAGGGATGTTATTGAAAAGCTATTTTCTGATGCCATTGAACAAAGAAAAGAAGATATTCAACAAAACAGTGATGTAGCACGCAGCTTAGCAACCTTCCAAAAATATGGGAATGACCAGATCCCTACAGTTCCAAACACAGGAAGAATTAATCCTCGAGGAGGAGGGTTTTTCTCAGGCGTACTGACAGCTTTAACTTGTGTAGCAGTAAGTTTCATCTGGTTGGTTTTCCATATTTACTTCATAAGCATGCAGTCAAATATACTTAACTTACATGCCCATAAAAGATCGTCAGCACAGAAGAGACTTCAGCTGAGCAGAGTGAATAAAGTACCATTCAGAGTTGTCTGGCAGGAACTACAATTGCAATATACAGCAAATGGAAGTTAGACAAATTGGGTAAAACTTCAAGATACTTTCTTATAACATAAATGTTCTAGGGTCTATAAAATGGAAGATTCTACATGTTACGCCCCTTAATGCATGTTTATTTGTATCATTAATATATTTGTTTTGTAGGTAATTTTTTCTTTTTCTTCTTTTTTTTTTTTTTTTTTCAATCTCCCTATAGGTAGTTCTACTTGGCTATCACTGGAGTAGCCGTTTTTTTTAAGAAGATCTTCTTGTCCACAGACCTGTTGCTAAATGGACTGCTGAGGAAGTGATACTTTGGCTAGAGCAGCTAGGCCCCTGGGCTTCACATTATAAAGAAAGATTTTTACTGGAGAAAGTGAATGGAAGGTGAGAGGCCTAATTGTCAAGAACAGCTATCATGATTGGACTACTGGATAGCTTTCATTGGGGACAGTATATGGTGAAATGACCATATTTCTTTCCATAGATTGTGGGAATATTCTGTTGATGTATCAGAATAAAATTCAGGGGAAGTTTTAACACTTGTAGTTGAAAACTTCAGTAGTAAATACTAAGCAAGCTAACTGAAAATTTTCTAAGAACTTTTTTTAAATGCTGACAATGCAGACTGAAATGATACTGAAAGTAAAATTCTACTAATGTATTATCCACCCCTCCCACCTTTTCTTTCTTGTGAAAATATGCATATGCTATATGCATTGTTGCATTCCACCCAAGAGCTCTAGGTTTGATTTCAGGAGACCAGACTAGATCTGTGAAGTACTGAAGAACTGTGTTCAATAATAGCCAACAAGCTGATAAATTTGCATGCTGAAAGCAGGCAAGAGAAAACTTGAAAAGAAGGATATTTAAAACCCAGGCTCTGAGACGCAGTTGATACAGAACACTTGATATGGAATGTAATCCAAAAGGTGATACCTTCTATCAGTAGCTTATTGTTTCAGTATGTAATTGCTAATTTGGTAGTCGTATCTTTTTGGTGAAGAGGCACTGTTTATATTCTGAATTATTCTGCTTTTGTAGACTCCTTCTAACACTGACAGAGGAGGATTTCACAAAAGAGCCTTACAGTATAGAGAACAGTAACCATAGAAAAGCTATTATGGCAGAACTGGAATGTGTGAAAACTTTAGGCGTTAAACCACCACAGAACCTTTGGGAATATAAGGTAAATTTTATATAAAGTCCATCATGTATATTAAGTGTTTTTAAAATAATATATTTAAAAGAAGATTCTCTTAAAGCCAGAAGGAATGTTAAGGTCATAGAATTACCCTTGTAAAAACTGCTTATTTTAATGAACTGTTGTATTTGAAAAATAATCCTTTGAAAAATGATTGTCAGAAAAATGTAAGAACTGCCACGTCCCTTTAATTTCATTTTTTCCTTGTTTGAAACTTGATAATTTGATATTTCAGGCAGTAAATCCAGGAAAATCACTCTTTCTTCTGTATGCACTGAAGAGTTCCCCAAGACTCAGTATGTTATACCTATATTTGTTTGATTACGCAGAAGCTTTCTTACCTTTCATCCACACAATTTGCCCTATGCAAGAAGACAAGTATGAAGATATTGTCACAAAACTACTAGTAAGTGTTCAAAGCGTTAAATATGCTACTTGCTTTAGTTAGAAGCATTTTAAGCCTAAGCAGCATAAAAACACATGATGTAATTATTCACCATTTCATCTCTTTACAATACAGCTTAAAAAAAAAAGTCCTACAAAGTAAGTGGTTAATTGATTTTGTTGTATGTGATCACCAGTGTTGTGACCATTACTTTAATAAGAATGATTTAAGGCTTTTAAGATTCTAAATCTGTGAAACTGTGTTTTTTTTTTTTTTAATTTAACATGACTATAGAAAGGCTGTTCACTCAAAATACCTGTATTTTAACAAATGGCATTATAAAGTCTGCCTGTCTGTGATGTTTTACTCTAATCTAATGAAAATTACTGGGTTATAGTATTATCTACCAGAAAGTATAGTAAAGATAAATCACTGCTTTCAATGTATGAAAAAACAATTTTTCAACAGAAAAGTAGTGGAAATAAGCCAGTATGATGTGTGTTTAATAGGAAATTGATTAACAGTCTTTTTATCTTAATTTACAGGACCTTAAAGATCCTTCTTGGAAACAGTGGAGAGAATTCCTTGTGAAGTATTTATTTTTGCCATACCAGTTGATAGCTGAATTTGCTTGGGATTGGCTGGATGTGCACTACTGGACATCAAGATTTATAATTGTAAATGCCATGTTGCTCTCTGTTCTGGAATTATTCTCCTTTTGGTGGCTCTGGTCAAGAGGAGAATTGAAGTAAGTCTTACTGAGCTTGTTGAAGAGGGTAGGAAGTACATGGCCTTATAAACAGAAAGTAGCAGTCTTACGATTTCACAGTTGCTCACTGAAATGACAGTGTCTAACCGCAACTCTGAGGTTAATAAGAACGTGAATGTGAATCCGCACATATACTAGTATTCACTCTTGAATATCTTTATTTCTGTGAATACTTGAAAGGTTTCTTACAGCTGGATTTACTGACCAGTTGTAGCAAATGCAGTAATGGTAATAAACATGTTCTTAACCATTGGGTAAATATTAACTGTTACCTTGAGAAAATATTAACTGTTACTTTGAGAATTTCCTTTTATGGTAACTAGTATTAGCTGTCAGCTGAGAACTAAATACATAAGAATTTTGTTATGATAAGCTTACAATACAGTTATTAAAGGATGAGTCCTCAGGATCATAAGTAAGTTTAGTTACACTGATATTATTTCTGATAGGTGATCAAAATTGCTGTTTTCAGTTCCTGCTTTAGCCTTAATTCAAGCATATTAATACTACTTCATAATTGCTGTGATCTTTTATTTACAGTTTTTAGAACTTGCATAGGAGAAATTCTTGTTTTGATGTATACTGGGTTTTCTCTTTCTCTGCCAGCAGCTAGGGGGCAGAACATGTTCAAAAGACAACAGGGTATATGGGAGTAATCTATGACAAATCTGGAATTTGACCACTTTAACTTGCTGTGCCTTGTGGTCTGAATAAATTGCCTTAATGCTTCTTCATATGAAATCTACTATTACTGTATTGTAAGATTTTTTGAGCACGAAATGATGTTTTACAGGCACCTGAGTAAAGGCCAAATAATTTAAGGCTGTAGTACATACTAGCTTTTCTTAGAAAGGGTAAAACAAATTGAGAAGTTCCTCTAAGCCTCTCCCTTTCCTTTTTCACAGGACTATTCCTCACAGAATGTGGAGACATTTCTGGAAAGTCTCAACCCAGGGTCTTTTTGTTGCCATTTTTTGGCCTTTTATTCCTCAGTTTGTCTGCAATTGTTTGTTTTACTGGGCCTTGTACTTTAACCCAATTATAAATATTGATCTTGTCGTTAAAGAAGTAAGGCGTCTGGAGACACAAGTGCAGTGACCGGCATTGGAACTTCTGAGCTGTTTAGCTTCTAAAACTGGACATTTGAAATAAGCTTTGCTTTTATTTTTTATATATGTGGCAGTGAAAGTGGTGGATTATGTTAACTTAAACATACAAAAAAGCCTTAAGGTAAGTTACTCTTAAACCAGCTGATTGCAAATCTGAGAATGGGCTTTATTATCTGAAAAGAATTTTCTATTCAAAAGAAAAAAAAACAATTACATTCCTGATTTAGCCATGTGAAACTTATGTAGCCACATTACCCTATTTTTCATCAAATCAAACTTCTTTATTCTGTCTTGAGCGTTCTGGTTATTTTCAAGCCTGCCTTAAAATTAGTGTCTTCTGAACAGCTGCAGTGATTTTTTTTTTTTATGATTTTTTTTTTTTTTAACTTAGCATTTATTACCAGCAATGTGTTCCTCAACTTAAGTTTGCCAAAGGAAAGCTTTTCCTGGATAGACTTGATATTGAAAGTACTTCAGTGTTTTCAGTCTGCTTTATGTGTAAAGTTGTGACTGTCAATACACAGTTTCACAGTAGAGTTTGCTACAAAATGCTTGCTGTTGAAGGCAAAGACTGCTTGAGTTTTCTTGTATTTTGGAAAATGTGGTGATTGCCATTCACAATTTTTTATTCAGATCCGTTAGACTTCATCAATAGCTTCTTTAATGCTCTCCTCTTGAAGTCTGTTGCTAATTCTTGAATTCAGAGTTATCTCTTTAATTAAAAAGGATTATTTTGGAAAAGTGACCTGACACTGTAATTACATCTTACTGCAATATAACGTGTGTATCTAGATCTGTGAGCAAATATTGACTGGGAAGTTATCTCGTCTAAACAGGATTGTCGTTTATTAATGTATGTTTTTTGACTAAAGCAGAAGTTAGATTTTCAAGAGCTTTGTCCCCTTGCATTCTGCATTGGTTTGTGGTTTGTTTGTTTTTCATTTGTATCATTAATATAAACGTTAAATTTGCCTATGAATATTTTTAAAGATTAAAGATCTCTTTCGAAAACTTCATCCTACCTAAAGAAGTGTTATTATTATTTTTTATATTAAAGTACTTGTCATTAGCTTTGACTTGTGCAAACTTGTTCTGTAGCCCTGCATCTTTAAGTAAGTTGACGGTGAAAGTACGCGTAGGACACTGCTGGTTCTTCAACAGCTAATTTTAGCAGTTTATGGAAAAGTATATTAGTCAGCAATTCATGTTACTGATTTTTCTTCCTAAAAGGTTTCAACAAACTATGAAGTGACCCTAGCTAAAACCATCTTTACAGCCTTATGAGATGTATACGCTTCTGAACTATGCAAACTCATGCTGTCCAAGATCAAACACTTGTGGGAAAGGCAGTTGGTCCCAGTGACTGCTACTTTTTTTGTATTTCTGTCTTGGTGATGGTTTGCATGTATACTTTCAAACCTGGCTCTGAAGTTTTAGGGGTAGAACTTCTCCCTGTGCCCACAGGAAACTCAAGGTGTACACAGAGTAAGGAGCTTGAGCCATATCAAATGAACAATTTCTCTAGAAGACTGTATTTAAGAAGGAAAAAAAGAATATTAGCCATTTTTTAATACAGGTAGGACTACTTAAGGTGAATGAGATGCAAAAGTTAAATTAGGCTTCATAATAAGTTTAATACAGATGAGAAGGCTCTTTGTGCTGACACTGTCACTTCATGCATTTCTTCAGTTCAAAGTTAACAAATGTTAAGGTTAACGTTAGTGAAAAAGTTTGATTTGCATTTTATAGCCAGTGGAGGGGAAGGTGTGTGTGAAAAGTTCACAGTGAATGATATTATGAATCTGAAAAATCTGTGAATCTAAATATAATCAAAATAAAAGTCAGTTATTCCTTAATCTGATAAACTCAAATTCCTGTTTAGTCAATAAAAACTTACATATAACTAATGAATTTGTTTTTAACCTGTGCACTGTAGAAGGTAAATAAGAGCATAAATATTTACTTTGGCTGTTCTGGGGTGGAGAGGCTGAGGTGGAAAATCACTTGTCACTACTGTGACAAAAAACCAAGTAGAGTCACTTTAGATTTAAATACATACGAAGTTTTCATAAACACTGATGTCGTATATCTAATACCTACACAAAGGCTGGATCTCACCACACATAAAGTCTGGCCACAAAAGGTATTTTGTATGATAGGGAGCTCTAGAAAAACATTTGGCAGCTTCACGGTCACATTCACATGCCATTTTTTGACATTTGTCTTCTAGTGATTCTGAAAGAAAACACAGTAAGTTTGATGTTAGTCTGAAGTAATTAAAAATCTCAAATGGAATACCAAGAATTGCTACCTCACATTGCATATTTGCCATATGAATGGCTCTTACATTTCAAGTGCAATAGGAACTGTAGTGAGCTTTCATAATACTTAGTTCTTTTGTGTTCTTTAGACAGAGCTCCATGCCAGGACCTCTCAGCAACAGAGAATATACAAGCATGGTTTAGTTTAGCAACAATTGATAATCTGTAGAACTGTCTTGGCAGGTGAAAATATAATAATCAGATAAAGACTTAAATACTCTTCTTCACGTTCTTTAATAATGGAACTCTGATAACTGATTCTTCTTTACAAAGCGGCATGTGGCCCTCCCTGCCTGCCCTGTTGCTCTAGTGAAACGTGAGTTTAGGAAGATATTTTCCATTTCATGTATGCTTTAATCTACTAAAGGATGTAGCATTAAAATCATGTAAGTGAAATAAGGGATGCAAAGATGTTCAGCTTAAATCGCCCACCTTTTTTTATTAAGGCATTCAGTAAGAATTTAGGTAAAGTGTGTTTAAGGATGATAAAATCCATGTCTGGCCATATTTGTTTTCTAATTATGGTGGTATAACTTAACAGATTTCCTGGCATGAATGTTTCTTCTTGGCATGAACACTTTCTTCTACAGCAATATATTTTGGTTTTGTTGTGCCAACCCAGAAATGTGTGGGTTTTTTCTCTGCAACTGTCTGTAAATTGAAAAATCCTTGATTATATTTTGTCTGAGTATTTAACATTTTGAAAGCTTAGCTGAATCTCTGCTTGAGATTTGTCTAGGAGCAGAACAAATGTTCAGTTTTGCGAATGAACTCAAATTCTGCTATGAGATGGAGGCATTCTTAATGTATGTACGTTGATGCTTAAACTAGTTACCCGAAGAACTACTCAATACCGTAAGTAGCATAAACAACATGATAGGATAAAAAAACCCCACACCATTAATTGAGAAGAGCTATTCCTTCTCTTATTATTGCTCCAAACTTAATCTTCTTCATGGTACACTAGGGACTTTGTTTCAGCTTTGTTTCTTGATGACATGCCTACTATCTTGGGCAGTATTTTAAAATATTGTCAGCTTCTGCACTGGAACAGGAGCAGAACCTTTATAGCCAAACTGTAACTTGACAGTTAAGGAGATAGTTTGAGAGACAAGACACTTAGTACTTCTGAAGCAGAATAGGAAATTAGGAAGTAGAGATTCTGCATGAGGTAGACACTTGGGCAAAGTGAAGGCTGAATGAAAAGGAGGAAGAGAATAGTGTCAAAAACTTTCATTTGATTTCAGGTCAGGCAAATTCTAAATTGAGTTATGAAATGAAAGGGTTTTGTATTTTCTCTGAATGGCCTGCTGTGTTGACTTTAAACTGTGGTAGTCAGAAACTCACACTCATTTTTGTAAACAAGTTTATATAGGGGTCTGCATTTTTGTGGTGCAAATAATAACCAATTCTCAAGCTGACTTGAATTCTAGGTAGTAGCATAAAATTACATGCAAAGTAACTTTGACCTAGCACCTGATTTAAAAAACAAAACAAAACCAAAACCTACAACAGCAACACAAACCCCTGCAAGTTTTAGGCACTTGTGAGAAGTTATGGTTTCAAAAAGTCTTTGAAGTGTATTGGAAAGTATTTACTAAAACTTTGGGAGTTGTGAACAAATAATGTAAAAGAAATGCTGCTTTTTCCTGTTAAACATTTTTTGTTTGTTTGATATTTCTGTCCTCCTCGTGCATGGCAAGTATATTACATTCATATTTCAGAACAATCAAACAAAATTTATCAAGATGTGGTCAGCCATCTGTTGCAATTTATACACTAATTATGTAAATATTTTCAAATTAACAGTTTATGGCCTGGACATGTTACTTCCATAAATAAACATACTAATCAAATATTTTATTACCTCAGTGTTTGAAATTGTAAGTTGTAATTGTGAATTCATTCATAAATTGCAGCTACTAGCGGTGGGCTGTGCAACAGATCAGTGGTAAGTATGCCAAAAATTTGTCCATCATAAACTTATAAATGGTGTGAAATATTTTCTACTAAGTATAAAAAGGATCCTTTTTAAACGATTTTAATTTTCTTGCCTCCTGTTTGTACTTGCTTTCCATCTGGACACTTGCAGGGAGCAGCATAACGTGGGTTCTTCAACGTACGTACATGACAAGTAAAAAGAGGGGGGGTTTTGTAGTTTTTCTGAAAGGGTAATAGAAGCTTGTAGATCAGAATTTTGTTTGTTTATGTATATCAGGAGGTGGGGATTAAGAAGAAGAAACTGCATGCAGTTGGTTGGCACAGCTGTGCTTTCTGGAGGCACAATTTACCCTGGCAAAAAGGTCACAAAAGGAAGGATGCTAAAACAATAAGTTTACATTTAATTAAGAAAATGTCTTTCAATGAAGTCAGTGAGACAATCAGCAGAAGTAAAAAACAAAACAAATAAAAAAACCCACCAAAACCACAAAACAAAACAAAACAAAAAAAACACAACAAAAACTACTCCACTACCCAAAAACTAGAACTGTTCACTCACCACAGACAGCAGTGTTGTCTTCGCATTCCCAGTGGTAACTTTCTGTCTTTGGGTGACAACCCGCTTGTTCTGCCTTACCATAGCAGCAGTCATGGTTAAAGCAGCACCTGAGAGTAACAGAAATGGCCTTGCCTTAATTCGTACTGTGGTGATTTATCATCACATAATCTGGATGGATTTTATGAACATATTTCTACAGGCTGTGAAATGATAAAAGTCAACATGTGTGAATGTACAGTTACCTGCTCAGGAGTCAAAACAGGGTAATTGTTTAATAGATCATCTGGAAAAAAATATTACTCTTTCATGCGATAAATGATGAGGAAAATACCTGATACACTTCCTCATAGATGAAAATACAAGGAACCTTTGAAGTATTGTCAGTTTTAAACACAATAAACTATTATGTGGGTATGTCTCCTAGCACCTTCCAAGAAAAATATTAAATGCCAGAATAGTCTGTCAGATAGCGAATTATGTATTTTTCTGCCAGTTATTGAGGCTGTTGTAACAGTAATTGGAAAGGGACAAGAAGATTTGTTAGGCTGTAGCATATGATCGTAAATGTCTCCTAGCGAAGTCCTTAGATGGTGGCAGAAAAGCTGAGAGCGGGTGGAATGTTCAGTAATGAATAGGCATGGGTGCTGTTTAACACCATAGTATAACTAAAACTGTTTGCTCAGTATCATGAGAAAATTTGGAAAATTGCCCAAAAAGATGATTTCAAAATTGTTTTTGTCATAATTGGGACAAGGAATTCATAGACTTTCTATCAGACTGTGGAACTGAACATACAAGTAAGCATTAATGGCACATTTTAATGCTTAAAAAAAGAATTACTCTTCTGGTCTAGAATCATTGCAAGCCCAGAATAGCAAGTAGGGAAGGTAACAGGGATCTGAAATTAGATAGCTTGTAGGTGTTTGCTGGCAAACTAACTATACTTTTTTTTTTTTTTTTCCCTCAGTGGTGGAACAGGATGTATCCACAAGCTCTTTGCATTCAGTCATTTGGTGTCCTCCTGGTAGCCTAAAACCATCATATTACAGTAGGCACATGATGTTTAGATGGTGTTTAGATTGCCTGAGGAATTTATGTCTGCAACAGAAGAAGTTGATGCTGTGAGCTCTCACTTGCAATTACTCTTTTTTTCTATGCTTATTAAATAATAGCATATTATTTATTCCACACAAGTCGCCATTTAAAGGTCCTGCAGTATGTGCCCGTGAAGTAGCTCAATACATCCATTTCATGCATAGAAATAAAAAAAAAAAATAAATTGACTTCTAGTGAGTCCTTGTAGCAGTACTTCTTTTGCCATAGTGTACTCTATCTTTGTGTGTTTACAAAAATCCTTAGAATTACTTTAGTCATCTTTTAAGCATTTAAAAAAAAAAAAAAGATGCTTAAGGATTAAGGATTTTACATTTTATCTTGTGAAAGCAATGTATGATTGTCTCTATTTGGAAGTTTATTTTTACAAGTGGCAGGCAAAAATCTAAATTGCAATAACTATTATTTGAGTAATTCCATTACAGACGTTCTTACTTCAGATTAAGTATTTCTGTATTTTCACTTAACTTGTTTTCAGGCATAATTCTGAATGTAAACAGGCCCCAAGGTAGCTCAAAACTTTAAGAAATCCAACTTGGTAAGAATGTTTGTCTCTGCATTCAATTGGTGCAATTCTTGATTCTGCTCAAATGCAGTAGAGTAAGCACACTCACTTCTGGCTTAACGTTCTGTAGCTATTAAAACCCAGACCACAAATAGCTAACAATGCTTTGTGAAGAAACAGCTTCTTTCTACTGTGAGACTTTTACAAAGTGAAAAAATGGCCTACAATGAAAGACTAGCAAATTGCAGATTCTCCATCATTATCTTTAGCTATACAGATGACCAGAACAAATAATAGTCCCTTCTTTTTGTATGTGCTCCCAGTCATTAAAGTAGCAACTGCATTCTACAAAATTGTCTTTAAAATAACAGATTACACATCCAAAAACTTGAAATATGTAGTCAAAGATTCTAAAAGTTTTAGGTCTCATCACAACTAGAATCTTTATGCAAAAAAAAAAAAAAAAAATCAGATTTGAACTTTCCATAAATTCTACCCTAAATGTATCAAACATCTGTTTTCATTGTAATTTACATTTGCCTGATAAGTCAGAACTTGAGATGTCACATACAGTGGGGAAATGATATATACAATGATAAATTTGAAAATATAAAACCTTTACTTAACTACTATAATCAGAAAATCATCTTCCTGTCAGCTAATGTTCAATTATAAATTAAACTGCTGGTAGTCAATATGCTGGGATTTAGTACTAAATACAAAGGTCTGTTTTTAGAATTATTTTAGTAACAATTCATAATTCCTTTTATTCAAGTTATTTTTCAACAGGTTGAACTTTGCCTAATTTTCTATGTATTATTTTGAATACTAATAAAATGGGATGGATGGTAGTAGAATCAAAAGATTTTTCACTTGCAATTTTTTTTTTAAATTTTACTTTTATAGATAGCTTGAATGTTTGAGCATTAAAGCTTCTCCAAGAAGACTTTAGTTCTTCAGCTCTTGGCCAAACAGCAGCAGCAAAGAAACTCAATTGTACTGTGAATCCAATATTAATGCAATGAGAGTTTGAGTTAAAGGCAAGTAGGATTCGTGTAGATCTACAGTAACACAATTTTAATGCTTCAGAGTTTCTTCACAGTCTGAGGTATGTTTAAACTCAGTTCCCTTACTGGTGTTAAATAGGCCTAATTCATGCTTTAGTCCTTTTACTCTGTCATCTGCATATATTCAGCACTTAATTACTCAGATAAATAGTTACTCTTACCAGTCTACTCTGTCTTTGGGCCATCCTCTTCCTCCCAGACCACAGTAGCATCCATAACGTAGGTAGGCAAAGGGAGATCGTCCTGTAGTACATCTAATGGCTCCGGCTAATTCAAGAATTCCTCTTCGATTTCTAAAATGGGCTTCCCCAAAAGTGCCTTTATAAATTGTGGAAGAAAAACTCTTTATTTTTTATTGAATCAAATATGCAGATATAAGATAGTTTTTATTTTTTTAGACTCTGATAGTGAATGTCAGTACTTGAAAATAATACAGACTTCTTTTTGACACTTTGGGGCCACACTGCTTGACCCAGTCCCTTTTTTACCCCAATCTACAGTGAGCAGAATACTGAACAACATTCTGAATAGTTGCAGTGGTTTCCTCCCAGCATACAGTGGCAGGCTTTGGTCATTTCCCGTCTTAAAACTGGCAAGGGCTAGCATGTGTTCTGTGGTCTCGGTCCACTGATCTGCTAAGATTAGATGCTCTAAGTGTTGCCATATTTTCTCCTCATCATAACGTGCAATTTTGCCCATGTTATTATTTTGTAGAATGTAAGGCTTTACATTAGTTGTTCCAATGTCCTCTATGATGGGGGTCTGTTTTTCCTTATTTTTAGCAAAGAAGCCAAATAACTGGTGGTGAGGTGGGTGTAGAACAGGGAAATGGGTGGGTGCTTGGAGTCACTTCCCGGGAAATTAGAAGAAGGGTGGCTTTTTTTTCTGTTTCATTTTGTTTGGGTTTTTTTGTTGTTAAGGGATTCTCACCATTATTTCTCCAGAACAAGACTGTATTTAGGAACTTCATTTTAACCATCCCGTCTCAGTATTAAAGCAGTAGGTCTGAGGCAGCAGATAAATGTTGAGACACCAGATGACTTTTTTTAGGGCTCCATGTCATCCTTCAGGTTGAGCTAACGCATCAAAGACCTTTAATGGTAATGGGCAGCATTTCCTTGCAATGCAGGCTCTGAGCTATTTGCAGCAATTTTTAAGAAGTTGGATGAGTACAAAACAAATTAGTGGAAGGCTGCTGATTAGAGCTGTCTTACTAATTAAACTAATGATTTATTTTGGTATAAGAACAGTTTATAAACCTTAACTTCCAGTACAGGACACAGATTGCAAAAGACATTAAGGTTTAATAACTGATAATATCAGTGAGAGAGACAGACAGCAGAAAAAAATATTTAGACTTGGTAATTGAAGGCTTTGATATTTATTTTCCTACAGAATAACCGTATGATTATACAGTTTGTATATAATCTGTATAATCATATAATCTATTATAATAGACTAACTAATAGACTAATCTATTATAATAGATCACATGATTAACTATAATCAGTTAATGGAAGATCTGCCAGAAAAATATTGTTCCCAGCACAGTTGAGTAACTTGAAATGCGTGGGATGCTGGTGACCTCCAGCACTCGTAATTTCACAAAACAAAGGGATTTAAGCACTTAATGAAATTGCCTCATTAAGAAATACAATTGGTTTGTATGTGAGAATGGTAAAAAAGCTTTAGAAAGAATGTAGCTAATCCTTACTTATGAACATAGCTAGGCTTCCTAAAGCAATATTTAGTAGTTTTCTGAATGGCAGCTACTCCCAGATCTTATTCCCTCCTGCTTTGTGGGCACATGATCTAGGGAGAATAGAGGATGTTGAAACAAGAGCGCTTAAACTTGCACACACATCTTTCACCATTGGTTAAAAGCAATTGCATCTTGAGGAGTTAAAAAAAGATTCTTTGGCTATGTAGTCGCTTGCAGTTTTGTTTAAAAACTGTTCCATTGGCACTAAAACTTCCTTGCTAAGATAGCGAATAGTGTCTATTGTGTCATGGCTCCCATTCCAGGATAGTATCTGCTGTTTAGTTATATAGGTTTTCTGGTAAAAAGATCCTCTTGCACTTTCCCAAGGGGTCCATAAGGTGTACTGGGTGGATTCTTGGAACCTGCAGTTCTAGGTGTCAAAGTAACAGTCACGTTGTGGAACTGACACATGATCATCTCCCATTCCGTTGCAGCTCTGAATATATGTTTCAGCTCTGGGTAGCAGAAGCATCCATTTGACTATAACCAGACTTTTATGATAGCACTGAAAGTGTTATCTTCACTCCCAGTACAGGTTCAGTAAATTCCCAGCTGAAAAAAAAAACCCTGCAATAAGGCTGCAGCATTACAAATGGCAACTGCTTATACTCTTAAACGTTTAGTGAGATTTGGCTAGACTCTTGCAGCTAGCCAGTAATGTCTGAAGGAACCACGTTAGTAGTTAATGGCAAAGCTGGGTTTGCTCCGCATGACATCAGTAATTCTGAAGAAATCCCCAAAGAAAGTGAAGCATTTTTACATTGTGTCTCGGTTCCTGGCAACTGGGGAAGGATGGTGTAGGAGAGCTACAAGACGTGAAGAGGAAGCTAAGAATTTCCAAGTCATATTCCTGCTTCCATCAGAGAATTGTTTGCTAATTTTGGACAAATGCCAGATTTAAATCCATGTTAAGTAGAAGTCTGCTCCCTGAAGAGCTCAAGTATAAATCTTTAAAATGTGCCATGTAAATAACTTAAAGAAAAGGACATAAACTTTTTTATCCTTGCAGTTTATTTGTGTTACAGCATCTGGACATCGAGGTATACGCCAAGACTGTATTCTACTGTAGATACTCTGAATATGACCGAAGGAAAAGTCTCTATCCCAATAGCTTTGTAACCTGAGTTTAATAAAAGCAACAAAAGACCATCCTAGAATACACAGAAGTATGGAAACAATGAGAGTCATATCGGTGTGATGATGGTAGCATTAGCGTATGAGCAACATAATAAAATTTCTGAAGTATTTTATCAGAACTGTGGAATACAGTCAGAGACTGAAGTGACATTCTGCATATTTTCAGATGTTTCATGATCAAGGTATGTTTTTTAATTTTTCTGTGTGGTTTTGTTTGTTTTTATGAAGACTTTGCATTTATCTTTATGGACTGGAATATTCCTATAGGTTTGATTATGCGTTCCTGAAAGAGTAGTGTTGTTCCTCTATGTCTCATCTGGTTTTTGTTTTTGTCTTGCCGGTTGTGTGCAACTCTATCAAACACAATATTGTGGGTGGGAAAAAAGGAGGGAACCGGATTGTGTTTATTTTAATTTCATTGCTTTCTAATGTTTATGAAAAAATCAAAACTCCATTGTTTTGATATCTAGATGTCACAGGAAATAAGTCCAACTAAGTGTACAAAAGTAATTTTCAGTTAGACAATTTGAGTCTAGTCTTGTTATGGCTTTTAATATTCCTATAATATTTAATTCTGGTGTTTATTGCATAATAGGAATTGGAAGTTTGTTAAAGTTTCAACTGTCCTTATTCTTGAAAGAAAACTTTAAAGACATATTTGGGAGATGAAAAAACCTTACAGGCAATTAGACCATCAGCAAACTCAGATTTAACTGGATGTGATGTAGCTGCTTTAAAAGTAAAGGTTGAAGGGAAACCAAAGCCATGCCAATCCTTAGGCTACTTTAGGCACCATAAAATAACAGATGGAGAAAGAAAAAAAACCCAAACAAATCTATGCAGTTGTCTTTGTGATTCTAATGACTAAGCCAGAGAGATCAAAAGCCATGAAGTGACTTTCTGAAGACTGAAATTTGGTAAACACTAAAGACAGCCTGAGAGAAAGCAACAGTATGTAATCACATTATATTTGCATTGTGCTTGGTTTTAAAACTGTAATTCCTGTTGCCCAAATTGGAGCCCTGCCATGTTTGGAGAGTTTGAACTTCATCAGACTGTCTTGGTTTGTTGCCTTTATAAGTTCTTGAGAGTTCAGATTGTGCTAAATGCCGTACATTATTATGTCTTTGCAAGATGTTTTCCACTATACCTTCCTCCTCTCCCTTTTTCCTAGTTTTCTGCCTAGATTACAATAGTATTTAATAATCCAGTTCCTTACATTTCCGTATGCGTAGAGGGGAAAAAAAAATTTTAGAAACACATGAATTTTTTGTGAAAGGTCATATTTCCCATAACATTTTATTCTTTGTAATGGGCACAATGCAAACATAATAATTATTTTTGCAGATATGTAATTATATTTTTATTGAGATGCACAGCTTTGCATAATTATGAAACATAACTACAGTAATCATTAGCATCTGATACAGTCTATGATGTTTTATAGGTTTTAAATAAATTTTAAGCCCTTCTTTCAGAGGCTGAGGCTACATAAACATTTTTTGATGTTAAATATGTGTAAGATTTCCTACAGTGATATCTCCTTTGTCCAGTCATAGTGCTCTAGTAGTTCAGAACTTGAAACTTTGGATTTCAGACTTTCTGGTGCATCTTCAAGATCTTGCCAGAAGTAGAAACCTTTGAACTGTATGTATTATTCTGTAATTCTTTCTTGGGTTTTTTGGTGGGTGGTTTTTTTTTTTTTTTTTTTTTTTGCTTAGATTTGCTCCTCTTGCTTCATAAGCCACCAGGAATGGCCTTTTTCACCTCATATTGTTGCCCAGACTACTAACGTGCTGTCTCCACAAACTGTGGTCACAGGTAAATTTTTTTAAAGGATAAATTTGCCTGTTTTGATACCATGGACCAAGCATTGAGAAACAGGTAAATTGCATTTCCCTTCCTCCTCGCTGCCTACGGAATGGGTGACTGTGATGCCTGACTCAGAGCTATCGGACGGAAGCCAGGCTCTCTGTAGCGATCACTCTAGGCTGGCAGAAGCAGGGAAACAGTCTTTCATTGCTTTCCTTAATGTTCTTTCTGAGGTTTGTGCTGTGCAAGGCATGAAGTCTAGAGGATGATCGCAATTGCAGAAGGAATAATAGGGGCACGCTGAGGTCAGGAAGTAGAATTGGGGCAGTGAGCTTGGTGGGACCTTAAGTTGGCCCCATTATGCAAGCACTTTACCTTATGGTCTTTAATCATGTGATTGCCTCCCCCCCCAGCCCCTGCTTCATTCTGTGCACAGAATCTGTTACAAGAATGAATTGAGGCTCTTCTCCTTAGGATACCTCTATTTGCAAGATTTGGGTTAGTACATTTGCAAGCTGTGTAGGAATGTATAAAAAAAGTGCAAGAAGACAAAAAAGAATCTCTTAATTAAGGCAGCTGACTGCTATTCTGGAAAGCTGGATTTTATCTTTACAGCTGTCACAGAGGTTCAGCATGAGGTTAGTTTAATCACTTTAAAACAATGCCTATAGATGTTTACTAATAGTATGCTCGAGCCTGCTGAATATCCTGGGGTTGGAGTACCAAACTACTGCAATACTCATAGAGAATCATGCTTTGAGTAGTTGAAGTTCCACATCATAGTTTTAAATAGTTGTAGGTAAAATTGGGTTCTAACATGTCACCACAGGAACCTAAAATTAGTGGATGCTTTTTTGTCATCCCACTGACCTATCTGAAAAAAGGGATGATACTATAGTATGAAAGAAGTAAGTACATTCAGATACTGTACTGATGAATACTTCAGAAAACCTGTGAGGAAATGGACTGTAAATTATTACAACTGGTCTTTAATACTGCTTAATAAATAGGACATAGGATAAAAAAAAATAATTAAATACTTGCAAAGTGAGTAGTCGGCTATGCTCAGGTATGAGGCAGGGGTCCTTTAATTACATTCTCACATCATAACTTATTCATAAAGGCTGACTCAATTTTTCAGAATAACCTGGTTATGGTTTTGTAGGCAATCTCAGCTCTAGCAGTTCCTAGCTGCTGAACTGCTTTGTAACTTAAGCGCTCCGAGATAGCTCTGTCATACCCACAGGAGCGTGGGTAAATGTCTTGGCTTTGTAGGAAGATCAGTATTACACATGCAATCTGCAGTCTGATTTAAAATACTGGACTTTTTAACACACTTGCACACTACTGATAAACTTTTGAAAAGTACTGTGAGACCCTCCAGCAAAGTTCCCGTGCTGCACATCTAAGCCGAGAAACGGGCGGGCTGTCAGCGCAGCTCCAGCCGGTATCTCCGCGTTCCCCGTCCCGCTGCGGTACACCCCGCGCCTTAGACAATCTCCCACAGTACTCCTCGCCGGAGCGGGAGGGTATTCCCTTCCCGACACCGTTTCTCCTAACGCTCTTTCCTCCCCGACCTTCCCCTCGACGCAGCATGCCCCAGCCCTCAGGGTGCGGAGCGCCGCTGGACGGGGCCGCTTCCCCACCGGGAGGGACCGGCTCCCCGCCGCCGG